ACGCGCACAAAACAAGAATTCAACATAATTGACAGCTGCATCCATTCGCTCTGTCCAAGCCCGCTTCCCTCCCTCCATCACTTCTGCTTTTTTCCCCCTCCCCACTCTGTTCTTCCAACACCATTTCCTCTTTTAATTATCCCCCCACCAAAAAGATGGAGCACATCAGACGCATCGCGGCAAATCCGGGCCCTGGCACGCGCTCACAGTGGCTCCTGCGTCTGGCAGTCCCGATAGAGTCCCAGCGCGCTGGCTGTGACAAGAGAAGGAGGGCGCCTGGAGATTTTCTGACAGAAAGAATTGGGAGGATGATCTCTCAGCAAAAGAGAGGTCCTCATTCTCCTCCCCAGCGTGGGAGGCTATTTGGCAAGCACCATTCCCATCATACTGCATTTTCAGCACCAGATTAGCCAGTTCTCAGGAGCGAAACTCACACAGACCCCTTGTTTACACCTCAGTAGCATAGTGTTTCTGTAATGACTGTTCTGTAAGAGCATATTGAAGGCACTGCAAGCACGCCTGCTCTCCTATCTCCCCGTGCAACATTTTAGCGGTGAGGCCCATTGTATACAGCAGAAATGGAGAAAGCATGATTTGGATTAAGGGAATGTGTTTTTTTATATATTGAAAGATGTCTCCTCTGACCTGAAATGTGTTTTACTGAGTGAATTGCACATTTACATTCTAATCAACTACCCAAATGGGTTTTTCTTCAACAGTTTTAAGAAGTTAACTACTGGCATGGTGCGCTTCTGTCAAAGTTTCTTGTCTCCCAGTGGGGTGTACATCAATCGCAGAAGGCATCCCCCAGTCGTTCTTCAGGCTAATGGTGTCATCTCTTATGCGATTGCTCACAATTCACAGCGAGATCCTCGGACACAGTGAAGCTGCATATCCAACCCCTTGCTCTATTCTCCCTCTCCTTTCCGTTTCCTCCATCACTCTGAGAAGGGTGGAATGCTCCACAGCAGACAACTTTCTTCTCCTTCTGCCAGGAACTACAGTAAGAAAGGAGGCAAAGGGCCTCTGTGATGTCAGTTTCTCTTCGGGGTGGGGAGGAGATGTGCTGGATGAAGAGGATCATTTGGGATCTTGGGAAACGGGGTTCTCCTCTAGGAGGTGCAGCTGCATGAGGAATTGATTTCTGGTTTAAACTTAGCTCTTGTTCCTCCATGCTGAAACAATAACCAGGTTTTAGCCCACTATCATCTTAAGTTGAGACATGATGGATGCCATTTTGGTCAAACCTTGAAAATAACATTATGTGCAATTGCATGTGACATTGCATGATCTTTTAGCACTTGGAGCATGTAGTGTGAATTAGCTACAAGCCCACCACACCACAATTTTAGCCCAATATCTGCTAAATTGACTGAATAGCCATGTTTATGTTTTCTCATTTTACCGTATTTCCCGGCATATAAGTCGAAGATTTTTGCATAGTTTTGTCAGTCCTGCGACTTATACGCCAAAGCGACTTATATACTTTTTTACCATATTCATAACACAATTTTTGACTAACGCTTTAAATTTCTAAGAACTGCAACAGCGAGTCCTCCCGTGCACGCGTCCTTCACTCAGCTGGTGCAGACAGAAGAACGCTGGAGAGCTAGCGGCTCCAGCCGCAATGGATGGATGGATAGCACCGTGCCGCCCAGGCGAAATGAAGCCGTTTTTACCATTAAAGTGCATTTATTAAGGAAAAGTTAAACTAAGTCACACATTTACTATAATGTTGAGCAAACAAATAATTGTTTTTAAGTGTTAGTTTTGTTAAATTTCTAAGGACTGCAACAGTGAGTCCTCCCGTGTGCGCTCGCTTCACTCAGCTGGTGCAGGCGAAAGAATGCTGGAGAGCTAGAAGCTCCGGCTGCGATGGATGAATGGATAGCGTCGCACTGCCCAGGCGAAATTAAGCTGTTTTGACCTTTAAATAAACACATAATAAATGCAACTTATACACTGAAGTGACTTATCTATGGTTTTTTTCCCTCGTCATGATGCTTTTTTTGACTGATGCAACTTGTACACCGGAAAATCCGGTAGTTGGATGCGGGAGTCATCTCAAACTGGGCTGACTATATAGGGTAAACAGTTGTAGATTTACTGCACATCTATTGATAACTTTCTGAAAGTTTCATTAAAATTCATCCAGTTGTTCATGAGCTCTTGCAAACCGATAGACAAAGCTTATTCTGATAGTAAATGGCAAATTTTCCAACACTGATCTTATACGATTAGTTGGCGCTCCAAGTATAAATTGGGGATTTATCTTAGTTACTACCACACCAAATTTTACCTCAATATCTCTAAAATTGACTGAATTATAGACATTTTTTGAATTTGTTATAATTGCTAAGTTGTGGCAATCTTGATTGAAGTTGGCTCCAAAGGTTAATCATTAGTTGCGCAGCCAACGGTTACCGATACTTTTTGAGAGTTCAGTTAAAAGCAGTTCAGTGGTTCATGACATTTTGCTAAAAGATACTAGCAAACAAAAACACTGTCACTTCGCCTTGATCTTATGTAGCCGACAATGATGAGGACAGTGGTAACCAGTCCCTCTTGGATAAATAACTACATTGTAGATAAATGCAGAACAGATGGAGTTTAGCTCTAAGAAACAAAAATCCCCGCTACAATAAGCACTAGAGCCTAAACACGGACAAAGTATAATTTCTCTGTCATCCTGTTGCTCTACTGCGAGTGCAATGTCACGTTTAATAAAAATGATCCCGCAAAAATCTTTAATTCATAAGCATATGAAAAATGTAAACATTTGTTTCTAATACATTCTGATAAAACATTTCCTCCCAAAGTAAACACTTGCTCCAGAAACTCACGAAACAAAACAACACCCCGTCTGATAATCCCTCACAATTACGTTGCACGGCGTGATGAAAGCATATCAATGAACTACTTGTGTCACAGAAAAATAGCAGCACTTCAAACATGCAACCCTCTGAAGCCGATGGGAGTTTTGAGTCGATCGTTGATCAAAGACGCAAAAGCTTATCATCAACGTTTCTTAAAAGTGAAACAATATGGAATGGCTTTAGACATATAACCGGGCTAACGGTGTTTTTGCCCTAATGGCTATTTGGCTTTTTGGTAAACATTAGCCTTTTTACGAAGCTAAAGCTACAAAAGACTTGCAAAATGTAGAGTGGATGCAAGGTCTTTATCTTGATGAGAGGCTAAATGATGGGAGTGACCCTTCCGACACAAGTTGGACTTTGGGAACAATTCATGGTAACAATTTCTGGCATTTTCTCCCCTCAGCTCAGGGCAATGCTTACAAGTGAACTATGTCTAGTCCAAATATGTATGATTTTATATAAAGACTGAAAAACAAAGACGCCTCAAACCACCCCTTTTACATCACACACGCTGTAATCTTCTGTCTGTACATCTGCAAGCTGACCAGTCCCATCTGCCATCTTAGTGCACCTGCAGGCTAAAACTGTATAATCACAAAACTTCACAGTCCAAAGTTTCAATATCACTTTCCTTCAACAGGAACTGATTTAACAACAGTTCAGCTTTAGCTTATAAACTTAACGTGGTAGTTTAGGTCATTCAAATCGAGGTGGGGTTCTGTGGAAATGTTAGGAATAATTGATATCTTACTGTTGTGGGGGAAAAAAACTAAGGGAAATAGGATAGCTTATTGATGTTTTTCAGTTTATTACCAAAAATATGTCAAGCAGAAATCCCAGAGTAGAAACAACTCCAAGCAGAAGAATATGTCTAACTTAAAACTGTAAGACGTTACCTTTTTAATTTAAATAAATGCAATCAAAAATATGACTGGAATATCCTAATAGTTCTGCTGGAATAACTATATAAAGTAAAACTGACAACAGGTTTGTAAAATAATGTGAAGGAACAACTGAAATGTTTGAAGATGGCAGTAAACTAGGGGTGCACCGATTTATCGGCCCCGATTTCCTTAATTTTGGGAAATCAGAAATCGGCTGATACTTGTATGAGAAACCGATTTTACAGATTTTTTTTAGTTTTAACAACAATTGTCTAAACTTCATTTATATTTCAGAGAAATACCTCATGGCCAGTTAAACAAGTTTGTATTGTTTCTAGGATATTGTACAAGCGTATGTTTGTCAATAAAATAATATTGGAAAATTGCAGGTGAATTGTGACCGTTTAACACCTGACGGTGTCGCTTATAAAACAAAATCGGTATCAGCCAAAATCGAAATCGGCAAATCAGACTTTTTAGAAATCAATGATTGGTGATTGGCCAGAAAACTGCAATTGGTGCACCCCTACAGTAAACCACCTCGCTCTTTGCCCCATTAAGGCTAACTATTATCTCGTCAATTGACCTTTTTTCCAAACTGAGGTCGTTCAAAGTGCAATGTACAAGTACAATATTAATTGTTCCTTAGATACAGAACTTTACTAATTGGCTTTTCTATATATATGAATGTTCCTGTAAAGTGCCCTGACACAACTTTGTTGTGATATGGCACTATATAAATAAACTAAATTGAAATTGTTCATAACCTTTCCACACAACTTCTCCTGAAAACAGAACTATTCCTTTAAGTAAAGAGCTCAGTATTTCAAACTGCCAAACTTTTCTCACCTAAGGAAAACAAAAGTGAAAATCATGAACTGGTTTAACCACTAATTTAGTTAGTGGGTCCCCAAACTGGCCTAAGCGACTGTATGCTTCAAGCGCTTTGTTTCTGAGAGGCCACATACTCAAAGGGCCTTTGTGTAACTTTTCAAAAGGCAGCATCACAAGGTCATGGCACAACAAGGGTCATGCAAACACAGAAAAGCAGTTGTGTGCTGTTCATTTTATTTGGTGGGGGTGGGGGGTGCGTAATTCTATAGGTAAACTCTAGCAGACTGGAGATAAGTTACCCATGAACTGCCAGACAAAGGAAACAGTGGTCGGCATCTGAAAAGGTAAAGAGTAGTAGACCCTAACGTGCGAGAGGCCTCATCATCAGCAGGACAGTATAAAAGGACCTGTGCGTTTGTCAGCGGCTACCGTGCACAAACATCCACAGGCCTACGACCATGGGGAAGGTACAAGCTCGAATCATCTTTGACAATGACTGGATTGCTAACACGTTTTTGACATTACGATATACGTCTTTAAATAAAACTCAGCCTGAAACTTTAAATATTGCTCACTTCTCCTTCTCTTCTCTTTAAGATCATCTTCTACGAGGGCTCCAACTTCCAGGGCCGCCACTGGGAGTGCAGCAGTGACTGCATGGACACCTTCAGGCACTTCAACTGCTGCAACTCCATCCGGGTCAGCGGCGGTCACTGGGTGGCCTACGAGAAGCCACACTACATGGGCTACCAGTACATCCTCGGCCCCGGCGAGTACCCCGACTACCACCACTGGATGGGCTTCAACAACTGCATCCGCTCGTGCCAAATGTTCTCGCCTGTAAGTCAATCAAATTGACAAAGGATTGGGATTCCCCCCCAACCCCCATCTCTATTCACCTTGCACATCAAAAGTTGCTTTAGAAATAGATGTCAATCATTAGGTTTTAACTTGCAGATACTCACACAGGTCACATCACAAAAGTCTCGGCTTCAAGGCCCGAAAGGAGACCCTGTCATGTGTTTAATCGATTATGACATGCACCCACTTCCCCCCCAAAAGATTTGGTTCTATCACTCTAATTCTGTTTGTCACTCTGAGTGTTTTTGGCAGTTTATAAAAAAATCTGTGTCATCCTGCTAAAGAGGTCTTGCTTGTTCTCATTGGTAGTTACTAAAAGATGCCAAGCAGCGCAAGTTGAATCAGCTCAGAGAAGAAAGTTCTCTCCAGGGTTCACATCTACTGAAGTGGCATAATAATCACGTTCTGATTTCTTTCACCTGCAGTACAGGGGATCCTACAGGATGAGGATCTACAACAGGCCCAACATGATGGGACACATGATGGAGTTCATGGATGACTGCCCCAACGTGTACGATCGTTTCCATTTCCGTGACATTTACTCCTGCAACATCATGGAGGGCTACTGGATTTTCTATGAGCACCCCAACTACAGGGGGCGCCAGTTTTTCCTGCGCCCCGGAGAGTATCGGGCCTATGGAGACTGGGGCTGCCACAACCCCATGGTGGGCTCTTTCAGGAGGATGAGGACTGCCATGTAAACTCATCACGCCTCAAATGAACATTAAACACGTCTTTTAAAAAATAACACTTTCTGTTGTGGACTTATTTGTTCAAATCCATGCAATATCGGAGGTACAAAGACAATTTTTATGTCTTTATATAAACAAAGCACAACGAAAACTAACTTTCTCTTTGCTGCCTTTGTCTTCATAGTCATCCAGCAAGTTCCTGGCTTTCATGCCAATAAAGGCAGATGTTGCAACTCTTATTGAAGGCCTCAGAGAAAGTGCAGTTGTACAGTGTTTTCCATAGACAGCCTGAGCTTTGACAGAGACAAAGCAGCCACCCGTCCTATAGTGTCCTGCACTCTGCTGACACGACAAAGCTTTGTTTTGTGTTCACAAAGCCCCGATCCCAGCAGGATCTATAAAGAGGCCTGGTCCAGACCTGCATGTGGTCTGGTCTGAACTTAACACAAGTACAATGGGCAAGGTAAGCTCAAGTTTTAACATCTATATGGATATTTGATGTTTGTGAAGTGGGTTTACATGATGACTTAAAAACATGATGGCACAAAAGGACTGCTCGGGCAAACAGCGGAATAATAATCCATGGATCAATAGCAATTATATATTATAATATTATATATAGCTATTACGGTATAGCTATCAGTATTATATTAAATATACCACCTTACAACCTAGCTGTTTTTCGCTACTTTTCCTTTTAATTATCCTTTTAATTACCATTTTATTTTCACTTGTTAAAATTATTTTTTTAATTTGTACGCATCCTTTATGATTGTCTATTGTTGTCACTGTTGTCATCACTGTTGTTAAGAAATCAGATCTCTCTTGTAAAATGAGTCCCCGGGGCTCAATTGGATTAACCTGTATAAATAAAAGGTTGAATATTGCATTGATATGGATAAAATTAACTTAAAAATATGGAAATTAACGTTTTAATAAATAAAAATAAACATTATGTAAAACAAAAGATTAGAAACAAATGTGTGTACCACTTTACATTAAGACTACTTTTATAAAGGATTATTAAATAGTCAATAACCAATAATTAATGAAGCCATGAACAGTTTATATGCAAAAAGACGTTACGTTTTCTACATCAGCCAGATTTTAAGCATTATATTTTTGTCAAGAACACTAACAAAAATGTAAAAAGCCAAATGACAAACGTTAGTCAAAGCAACAAGCAAAATATTCAATTTGCATACAAAATGCATACTTTATTTTTCCTAAAATTGAGCCTGCATTGCAATAACTATTTTTAATCTCAGTATAAAAATATATTAAATATATTTTGTATATAACTTCTGTTTTACTGATTTTTCTCCGTCATTGTGTTCCTTCGCTGTTAAAGTATGACATTGTGAAGCAGTTTAAACTGCAATGATCTGAATTTAATTTAGAAACTTGCCTTCTGGGAAACCCTACCATCAATTTAAGAGCAAGCTTTGTGAACCCTGGCACATCATTTTTAAAAGTGTTATACACTTTTAATATTTTTTTTTTATTTCTTTTTAACTAATTAAATCAAAAACGTTCCTAGAAAGAAAAAAAAACTGAATTATAGAGTTGTTTTTTCAGATTAGTGTGATCTCAGTGACGACATATAAACATCTCGAGTTTGAATGTCCAACCATCTGTCGTACGCAGATTATCTTCTATGAAGACAGGAACTTCCAGGGTCGTCACCATGAGTGCAGCAGTGACTGCCCTGAGATGCAAAACTACTTCAGTCGCTGCAACTCCATAAGAGTTGAGAGTGGTTGCTGGGTGGCCTATGAGAAGTCCAATTATGCTGGCTACCAGTACATGCTGCACAAGGGGGAGTATCCTGACTACCAGCACTGGGCTGGCTTCAATGACTGCATCCGCTCCTGCCGCATGGTGCCCCCTGTGAGTTTTTAAACATTGTTGTATCCTGCTCGTGTTTTTTTTTTTTTTTTTTTTTTGTAAAGCTGACAGTTTAGGATCCTTTTGCACCATTTTGGCTGTTTTCATTCAAACTCTACAGTTGTACGTATTTAAATGTTTGCATAAAAGTCATTTTAGTTTTATTTTTTACGTAGTACAATGGAAGCTATAGGATGAAGATTTTCGAGCGGTCTGACTTTGCGGGCCAGACGATGGAGTTAAATGAAGACTGCCCGGATCTGCATGAGCGTTTCCACACCCGTGACATCTCCTCCGTCAACGTTATGGAGGGCTACTGGATGCTGCACGAGCACCCCAACTACAGGGGACGCCAGTACTTCCTGCAACCCGGAGAATACAGACGGCACAGTGAGTGGGGAAGCAACAGCCCCACCATCGGATCTCTGAGACGTGTCACAGAGAATAAGTAATTTGTAGCTTTAAAAAATAAATAAATAAAATAACGTTTTGACCCCCACAGTTTAAACCTCCACTCTTTTGTTTCCCTGACAGCTTTGTTTGAGCGTCTCAAAGCTGTGATGCCCAAACCTGCAGCCACACTTTAACTACTGTATTTTTCAGACTATAAGGTGCACTTAAAATCCTTTAATTTTCTCAAAAAACAATAGTGCACCTTATGTTTTTATTCTGTTTGTGCTTACTGACCTCAAACCGATTATATGCGGTACACGGCGCTCGAAAATCTGTCAAAATGTTTTAGTTTCGCTTAATACGGCTTATAATCCGGTGTGCTTTATGGTCAGAAAAATACGGTACAGAGGTTGGTCTTTATCCGATGTTGGGTTGTGGCTTTGCATCCAATTCAAAGCTCAAACGGAGGTGACAGCTATGATCTGACTTGTTTGGATTGTTCCAAAACAAAATGGCTTCCCTCGCAGGTTCAGTTGGAATCACAATAAATGAAAACTTGATGAAAGTCTTCCAAAATGCGTTTTTGGTGATTGTTAGCCATCAGATGTCACTATTAAAAATAAGAAGCTGGTTAAGCATGGTTCTTTAGAAAGATATAAACAAGTATCTTACCTGTTGCAGATATCTTTTTGAACAGCCTTATTTTGACAAATTAAAGAATAAACTTGATAAGCTTGATGAGCGAACAGTTACTCTGAGTAAAAATACGACCATTATGAATTAATGACGTCCTAAACCCGAATCAATTTTTTTTAATAACGGTCCATGAAATCCCATTTTTATACATTTTTACACGCCATTATTTCACATTACACAACAATGATTATATGTTAACGATGGCACAATATAGTGAAATTGTAACGCAGAAATATGAAGTTCTTGCATGTTTTACAAGAAGTACAGCTAGCTGTTGCTATTTGCACCTGCATGAAATATTTAAAATTAGAGTTGTTATAGGATGGATGCAACTTACTTTAATAGGGGCCCTTTTTGGACTATTAGCTCGTCAATTTGAAGATGGTCAAGCTACAACAAATATGTTACTAATCAAGTCTTAATCTTTCCCCAGAACCCCACTTTTTAAAAAAATCTGAACTGCTAAATTAATATGGCAACTTTTCATTTTATCCAAGACAAAGAGTCATATAGGGTAAAACACTGACTTTTATGTGACACTGTCAGTCTGTAAAGAAAGATTACAAAAGGAAACAAGCTTAGTCTTTGAAGTTTGCTATTAAAGACAAGCAACCAAATATATATAAAAAAAAAAAAAACGGTATCTGAGAGCGGATTTGTTGGAGTCTTTATGAGATCACATGGTACAGAGTAAGCGCTTTGGGTCCATGAAAGATGCCCATATTAGATCAACATCACAGGGACGGTGCCAGCTCAAAGAGCAGGAGTCAAAGTGGCCTCATATTAGCCCCGAGCACCAAGCTCTCTCAGAACAAAAAAAAAACAAAACCCAGTCCACATCCCCGCTCATGCATTTTTCATCAGCCCAAGACACAAGCCCTTTCAGAAATAAATATCAATTATTGAAACTGTTAATTAGACGCCGCATAATTGGAGGAGATATGCATGAATAAATAACTTTGACCAATTAATTATTGATTTTAAAAAATTTGAAGCCCAGCAGGGAGAGCGTTTGAGAATCTCAAGATTAAGCAGAACGAGTTACACGAGTTTTGGCCTTGAGTAATGTTCAATTAAAGAATTGTCGGCTCTGCTGTACGAGTTCGGTGATTTGCAGCGGACAACAATGCCCAGTAGACAACACAACATCAACAGGGTGCAGCGGAGGAACGGATCTGCCGGATCCTGGGGGCACAGATGGCGAGAGATGAGAATGTGGCTTTGGACGCAACTGAAAATTAATTTACAGCCATAAGAAGTGGAGGTTTATTATATTTAATCAACTAAAAATAATGTTAAGAAGTCTTTTTTCAAGTGCAACAATCTAAACTTTACAATACAGAGGAATTAAATATATTAAAAACACAACAAAAGCTGGGTTTAATGACAGACTGAACAAAAAATGGGTTTTCGTTAAAAGTTATTAGTTTTTCCAAACAACAATCACCTGTTTTTCCATCTAAACCTAAATTAGATCTTTTAGGAGTCATAAAGCTGATATAAAATACTAAATTCAGGGATTTACCTGATGCTTTTCATTTCACAACAAAGCCCAACCAGGTGTACAAACTTGCACGCCGACAGCAACTGTAGCTAAATCTGATGCTCAGCCTGTTTTCTATGCAACAAAGAGATAACGCTCATTGTCCCTGGATTGTTCCTTCTCTTCTTCAAGTCATTTAGATGATTTATTTTTCAATCCCTTCACACATAAAAAAAAGGACAAAAGAGTAAGATTTGAGTTTTGAGTTTCCTTCTTCATCTCCGAAGCCTTTGGACTTTGTGATGGGAAGCTGATTGAAGGGTAAGTAGTGCGTTTTGGAGAACGAATCCTTTAGATGATAGAAAAGAGAGAAAATTTGAAAAAAAGATAGAGAAAAGCCCAGAACAGAAGTCTGTGATTCCATTATTAGTCTCAGTTCTTCTCGTCTCTCTTTTCATTTCTGATGGCTGGATAATTAAACCTCTATAGTATTGTCTTCCATCTTCTCTGCCCCACTTCCAGTAACACAAATTTCCCTATGGGCAACTTTAAAAAGGCCCCTTTTAGACATCTGTTTTTTAGATCAGTATAACTCCTACCCCCCCTCACATTAATTTGTGTTTTTTTGTGAAAGTAGAAAGACTAGAGCCAGGACAGAGATGAGCATACGTGCAAAAATCCTCAACTGCGAGAAAAAAAAGGAAATCAAAGAGAGGAAAGAAAAGAGAATCCAAATATTCTTTCTTAACTTTTTTATTCTACATTACTGGCATTAAATAACCCAAACCTTAAATGTGCATCTCAAGATATCTAAAAGCAGCTCAGAAGCTGGAACGTTACAGAGCTTCATTTAAAAGCAGCCTCGTTCACCCCTCGAGCTTTAAAGAGAAGGCTTGTCAATTACTATTCCCACTCAGACGGAGGCTGGAGGCGCCACAAGGAGCGAGCAGGAGGCAACGAAGTGCTAAAGACGGAGCACATCGTGTAACAATATGTACAAATTAAATAATTGGTGCAAAAACAGTTGCATTTAACTTAAATTACTATACAAGAAATCCATTGATGTTCAGTTTTTATCTTTTTTTTTAATTGAAATGACGTTTTCACTTAATTTGTCACTTTGAACGGGTGTTAAATAATTTCTTAAAAAGTTTCCAAATGTCAGCAAGTACTGAAGAGACATTCAAGTTTGTTTTACTGGTACAATAAAGATGAATGCACGTTGCAAAATAAACTTTAAAACATGTTCATAAATATAATACTGTCAGCTGAGGAGAATCTTTAAAGAGGCGTTAAATTTCTGCGAAATTATAGAATAAAAATAAATTCATTCAGAACATTTCAATATTCTTTATGAACATTAAAAACTATTTCCAAAATTAAGCATGATTTTTAATGCAAATAATTTTTTACCGGTGTATTAGGTTTATTATAACTGTAAAGCTCTGCCAGTTTCCTTTATTAATCCATTATGAAGGTGCAGGTGCATCTCAGTAAAGTAGAATAATAAAAAAAATGTTCAATAATTCAATTCAAAAAGTTAAAATCATATAATATGGGTTCATTACATAAAGTGACACACTAAGGGTTTATTTCTGATAATTTTGATGAATAAGGTTCACATCTAAGGAAAACCCAATTTTCAGTTTCTCTTAAAATTAGAACGTCACATAAGACGACTAACAAAACATTTTTAATCAACTGTTGGCCATCTGAAAGGAATATATTTGTATCGTATTTTCCGCCATACACGTTGCACTGCCCTATAAGTTGCATCAGTCCAAATATGTCTAATAAGGTGGAAAAAGCCATAAATATGTTGCTTTGTCGTATACGTCGCATCTATTACGCGTCACCGCTGACAACCCGGAAATGTGGGCCGGTGTTGTACCAAAAATCAATAGGCTGCCAAATGGCGGTCGCGGGAGCGTGCACGGGAGGACTTCAACAAGAATTTAACAAGATTAACACTTAAAAACAATTTGTTTGCTTGAAATTATAGCAAAGGTGTGTCTCAGTCCAACTTTCCCTTAATAAATGCACTTTGACGGTCAAATCATCTGTATTTTAAAAGCCGATATGCGGAAGTAGGAACGCGCAGAGGGATGAGTCGCTGTACATTTCTTTGAAATTTAACAAGATAAAGACCTAAAAACAATTATTTGTTTGCTCGACTTTATAGTAAAAGGTGTCTCAGTCTAATGTTTGCTTAATACAAGGACTTTAATGGTCAAATCAGCTGCATTTCAAACGTAATCTCTGCCTCGGTGCTCCCAGGAGCACGCAGACAGGGAGCAAAAAAGGAGGAACGCTGCGCGTTTCTTCCAAATTTAGCAAGCGCCTAAAACAATTATTTGTTTGCTCGAAATTATAGCAACGATGTGTATCAGTTGAACTTTTACTTAATAAATGCACTTTAATGGTCAAATTAACTGCATTTCGCCGGGGCGGTGCAGTGAAATGAAGCTGATTTGACGGTCGCTCCAAGCTGTGAGCGGAATGAAGGTGGCAGATTATGGCAAGCCGATTGTGTCATTAATAGCTGGTGAAGATTCTCAGTCATCCAGGACATGGTAAATTCAAAAAAGTTCAAGACAAAAACAATAAAGTATAAATTTAAGTATAATAAATAAAGTCCAGTTGTTTTTGTCTTGACCTTTATTGAATTTGTCATTAATAGCCACTTTTGCCTTTTACATGATACAATGGCATGCCAAACCACTTTGCTGCCATCTAGTGGCTGAAAATGGTATTGCTCAATTTTTTTCAGTCAGAATGAATGAAAACAGTCAAATCTCAGCCAAAAATTGGTTTATAAATCCATCCATCCATCCATTTTCTTTACCCGTTTATTCCATTTTGGGTCACGGGGGTCGCTGGTGCCCATGTCCAGCAATCACTGTGCGAGGGGCGGGGTACACCCTGGACGGGTCGCAAGTCCATCACAGGGCCACATAGAGACAAACGAGACAAACAACCATTCACTCTCTCACTCACACCTAGGGACAATTTAGAGTTACCAATCAGCCTAACATGCATGTTTTTGGTCTGTGGGAGGAAACCAGAGTACCCGGAGAAAACCCACGCATGCACGGAGAGAACATGCAAACTCCACCCAGAAAGGCCCCTGGACCGGGGTTTGAACCAAGGACCTGCTCGCTGAGAGGCAGCAGCTCTACCAGTTGCGCCACCATGCTGCTGGTTTATAAATATGGGAAGAAAATCCATAAATACGTCTCTTTGGCCTATAAGTCACAGGGCATGCAAATTATGCAAAAAAATGTGATTTATAGGGCAAAAAATACGATACTCTATATGCACTTAATATTTGGTCAGAGCTTCTTTTGATGAATTACTGGATCAACGGTGTGGAAGCAGACGTCTGTGGCACTGCTGAGGGTTATGGAGGTTCAAGTTGTTTTGATGGGCTGTCAATCCACCATCATGTTCATTAAACCAGATGTTGGAACTTATGACAGTGTGTGTTATTTTCTAAGAGACTAATTTTTTTTTTTTAATTCACTTTAAGACATTTCAGTTAATGTTAATGATAAACACTATAGATCAGCAATGCATCTGTATATACACACAAGTTTCTCTGTTGAAATTGATTTACTAAAACAAAGTAACGTTTTGATTAAAGTTCAGTTTACTGAGAAGCACGTGCCTCCTTAGGCTAATCTAACTCCTAAGTATCCTGAGCCAAGCTAAAAAAATAAATAAATAAATTTACAAACTGTTGGTCCCTGAACAAGAGAATAATGCAAAAGAGAACATCAGTCTGATTGTACGGGTAAAGTTTGTTTTAGGGTTAAATAGTGGCATCGACCATGGTCTCAACAAAGACCTTAGAGAGGTTTCAGAAGGTAAAACATTTTAAATAAAAATCCAGACGAATGAAAGTCTTCAGACTCTGATCTAGCTGTTGTCTCTCTGTTCAGCTAAAGTCTGTCCCACGGGCAAGTTTTCATGGAGGTACTTCATGTTGCCGTGCTCAGAGAAATCAGCTACGGTGTGCCCATCCCCTCTCAGGACCCACTTGGTGGTGAGCAGCCCCTCGAGGCCTACAGGCCCTCGGACGTGGATTCGGGCTGTGCTGATACCGACTTCTGCTCCTGTAGATCAAGAGAACAGCAGTGAACTAATTAAATATAATAAACAATTAAAGTTGCACATTTTAATGGTGCCTGTTAACCTTAGTTTGGTTCTGCAAAGTGCTTTAACATGCATGTGTCATGCATCCATTGCCATAAACATTCACAAGGTATATTATAAAATACAGTGCTGCGCAAAAGTCAAGAATTTGATCATCACCCTGAGAGATGCAGTTGATCTTCTACTGTGCATCACGTTTTCAGCTAATAACTCCAAAAAACACTTGTTTAATGAAACAATACTATCTAATGCTCGTTAAATTCACTAAAAAGTAGGAACAAACAGTCTTGATGGCAAACTGCTTGTCGCAATGTGCCTAAAGATCCAAATTAAATGTTTGCCTAATTTATCTACAATGTGGGTTTTCTTTTAGTGTGGATTTCCTTTGCATGCTTGAATGGTTCATGGATTATTGATTAGTGCTTTAATACAAAAATTGTATTTTCTGAAAATTGTAGTTGGACTGTTTACATTGTTAAAAAAAAAAAAAAAAAAGTAGCCAATGTCCAAGAAGAAATGTTGATCAAAACTAATTTACAAAAAAAGACACAAACGTCCTTTCAGCCAATAATATATAAAGATTTGTGCAGTACCAAATATAGTGTAAGTGGTTTATAAATGTGCATATTTGGGCTAAAGTGCGATAAGTGTCTAGTTTGACACATTGTTGGACAGTTGTCAAGAGCAGAAAAAAAAAATCTACTCTTCCACATGTGAGGAGCGGGAGTTTAAATCATCTCAACAGCATTTATGTCAAGAATAAATAGTTTGATAGAGAAAGAATTAAAACAGAAGGTACTAACCGAGCCCAAACCGGTAGCCGTCAGCAAATCGTGAACTAGCGTTCCAGAAAACACAGGCGCTGTCCAGCTGCTGCAAGAACTGCTCAGCTGTCTCCGCTGGAAAAAATTAAAATATCAGTGCTACTGCTAACAACAACTGTGGCTCTTCTGGTCACTACAACCCACTTCAATAAACAGAATTAAAACATATAAAATAATAACAGTGCATTTGCAACATAACCATAACTGCATTTGCTTACATATGAACAGTACCTTTACTAAGGTCGTTTTAATGCACACAGATCTTAAATTACGTGAACTTTAAAAGAAAAATAAGTGAACAGAAACAACGTGGACAGCTCTCTTTAAAGTGAACCTTACAGCCGTCCTAATAAAATTAAAAATCTGCATTAAAAAAGGCTAACTAAGTAAAAGAGAGCAGCAATGTAAGAAGCCAAGGCAGTTTGTCTCTTGTTTAAACATTCACTGCTTATTCACCCAACTGTCTGCAAACATCTACAGCTGCACATTTTTTACTATTTATTCTTTAGATCTTATTTATTCTCTAAATCTACCTTTTAAGACAGCTAATCCTCTCTAGCTTTTTATCTATATAATTTCTCTACTCTGACATGTGTCCACTAGATGGAAGCAAAATATCCTTTTCTAGTGTTGTTGAGCTGATCCTCAGGGTGAATCTGTCCCAAATCTTTAACAAATTCGTGTGTAAATAATAAAATGTTGGTCTGAAAATAATAACATTGTTTTTTAATGAATAAAATGCTGTAATTTATAACCCAAAAAGTTAAAAATACATAGAATTCTTGTTAATTTAACTTAACCCTCCTGCTGCCCTTGGGTCAAAATGACCCAATAATAGGTTAACACTGAGGACTCATGCCTTATTTGACCCAAGGGCAGCAGGAGGGTTAAAACAAAGTTACAAGCATTATGTTACAAGTTTATGGGAAAACTCTTTAGTTGAGATGAAATAAAATAAAAATACTATAAGACTGACGTAAACGGGTTATAAATACATAAATATATCTAATAATGCAACCTTTAGGTCAGGTAAGCCTCTGTGGATGCTGCACAGATCAGTTTCTATCAAAATGAGGTCAGATGATGTTGTCTGACAGCTGTTTATCGGAGCATAATTTGACCGGCACAAGTCTGTTAATCTGACAATCATCTCTCTACATTTAACACTGACTGTCCACCATATTGGAGTCACAAAGGGAGGGCGTGAACTCACACTGACAAAGTGTCACTGCTCATTAGTGGCTGTGGCAGAAAGTGAAATGAAAGAAGGTGGTAAATCACTAGAGAGGAAGGCCACAACGTATAGGTGTTGTTTTAATCATGGGGATTTAAATATGTCTTAAATTATAGCAGATATTTTGTAAATTACACAACTCGGGCATGAAAACCGTAACAGCAAACACAAGCAATAAAATGCCACTTACCATTTTCTGTGATGATAACGTCTGTGTGGGAGCTGCCATATTTGTGAATATGATCCACAGCTTCCTGCATGCTGTCCACCACCTCCAGACAACACTGCAGGTCGCCGTACTCTGTGCGCAAGGACTTGACCTCCGATGGACTGAACGTCAGGTGAGAAATTAACCGAGGACCGGCATGAATCTTCACCTTGCAACACCGCAAAAAAGGTTACTTAATTTCACCTGTTGGAAAGCATTTTTGAATACAGTATACAGAAAATGTACTAGCTTGTGATGCATGATTCCTAAAAACTTGCACATTTAGCTGAAAGCTCAGCCAATAATTAGATATATTTTCACTCGAGCTTCAGGTATTAATGCTAAATAATGAAGCAAATGTCGAAGAGATGCAGTTCCTTGAATGACAACTTGAGGCTGGCTCAAGAAAAAGTCAAGTAGAACTAGAAAAATTGCATTTCCTATGAAAATGCAGTGTGAATGCTTATTGAAGAAGAACTTGCTGAAAAACAGCTGAAATTAGCTAAAAACGTGCTGAAATGTAGCTGAAATTGAAGAAAAAGTCTAAGTTAGCAGAAGAAAACAGATAGAACCAAAAATTGCTGAATTAAGTTTTAAAGGGCAGAAATTAGCACAAAAATTAGGAAACTAGCTAAAAAAAAAAGAAATTATTTGAAAATGGATGAAAATTAGCCGAAAAGGCAGAAATAAGCTTAAACTACCAGAAGGAAGTGGAAAGAGCTGAAATGAGCTAAAAGAAAATAGTGGAATTAGCTGAAAAACTAAAATTTGCAACAAAAAACAGCTAAATAGTAGCTGAAATAGCAGAAATAGCTGAAACTAGCCAAATTAAGCTGAAAGGAGCACAACGAGCTAAAATTAGCAGAAAGAAGTTAATTAGGCTGAAAGTAGTAGAAATGACCATGAAAAACTTGAATTTATCTGAAAACAGCTGAAATTAGCTAAACAATGCTAAAAAGTTAGCTGAAAAGGTACAGCAAGCTTAAATTAGAAGAAAGCAGAAAGAACAGGTTTGTTGAAAGAAGCGGAAATGAGAACAAAAAAGTGAAAATTATCTGGAAAAAGCTATAATTTGCAAAAAACACCTGAGAAGTAGCTAAACAAGCAGAAAGAAGCTGAAATTACAAGAAGGAAGTGGAGAGAGCACGTTTTTGCTGAATTAGGCTGAAAAAAGTTTAAATGAGTGCAAAAAATGTAGAATTAGCTGAAAAGGCTAAAATTTGCATAAAAACAAATAAATAGCAGAAAAAGCTGAAACTTGCAGAAATAAGCTGAAAGGAGCAGAAATAAGTTAGAAGAAGCACACAAATTTTATCGTTAACAGAAAGAATCTAAAAGGATCACAAAACAGCTGAAAAACAGCTGAAAGTAGCTGAAAAAAAAAGTTAAAATTTGCACAAGGAAGCTGAAAGAAGCTGAACCAGAACAAAATGTGAAAGGAGCAGTAAAAGGTCGTGAACAGAGCTAAAGATGTTAAGGGTGTAAAAAGAGCTCAATTCATTTTCTGTGAGGAAAAAAAAGTGGCAGAAAAGGCTAAATATTTCAAAAAGCTAAAGTTGCACCAATACCAAAAGTCATAGCAGGATTGTCCTGAAAGAGCTGAACATTTTGATTTATGACGTGTTGAAATAGCTCAAAAATTCTGGAATGAGAAAGATGCTGAAAAAACCGACAGAAGAAAAATGGATCACAACAGTGTGAATGCTGCATAAACATTCACACAACTAGGTTTGTTCATATCTCTGATAGGACTGTAGATTTTATTTACCTGTTCAGTGCGCAGCATATCAATAATCTGGTCAAAGAGAGGGGTCCCAAGGATGCTCCTGTGAATCAGCAGTGTTTCCATGGCATTGCATGCAGCTGGGTAGTCACACTTGGAGTCTCTGACTAAACAAATAAAACACAGGCATGTTTAAATATACTCAGAAGTAGACTGTCAGTACTGCAGCTATATTTTGACAATATTTATTTTTTATGGAACAGAAGAATAATTATGTTGTGGAAATGTATCTACTGACCAATCTTAAAGACCTTGTCGATGCTGGCGTCTGCATGGACGTAGACGTGGCAGATTCCCTCACTGTGACCCAACACCGGGATGCCCTTGGCTGCTCGCTGAATGTCCCGCACCAGCTGGGATGAACCTCTGGGGATGATCAAGTCGATCATCTTGTCCAGTCGGCAAAGATCTGCCACCTCCTCACGTGTGCTCACCTTGAAAGGCAGCGAACGCAGCACAGACAAGTATTCATGTTGTATTTAAAAATACAAATACACAAGAAAGGTCCAACATAAGTTACTTCAATTCAACTGATGCGAGGCATTTTTATCTAGACTTTGATCCTTTTGCTTTTATATTATCAAATGGATAATTGAAGTTTGTAAGGATAATTTTACCATTTGGACAGCCTCCTGGACTCCATGCGCAGAGAGGGCCTCCTGAGTCAGACGGTGCAGGACTCTGTTGGTATTAGCAGCCTCTCTGCCTCCTTTCAGCAGAAGAGCATTGCCAGTGGCTATGGCCAGAGCAGACACCTTTGTCGACAAAAACAAAGATGGACTAAGTCGCATATAATCAATGTTGCAGAAATTAATTTTTTAATAATAAAAATGCCATTGCATTACTTTCACCAGTGTTTAAATAGCATGCTTCCAACAAACGATGTTCGGACATTAGATTTGTATATTTCCACATTAATACTGTGACGCTGCGTTTTAATCTTCCTGTAAACTTTATATGTTGATGCCATCTGGATGTTGTTTTTTGACCGAACAGAAGTTACATACTAAGTGCAAGATGCAGTTATTTCCTATAAGTTTAGATTTTATTTGTGGAACTTAGAATGGAGATGAATTTTTCAGCCTTTTTTTTTATTTTTTTTAATCAAAACTACATCCTTGCTTGTTCTTATTCGTACTCATCTGCTCACACAGACTCATGTCCGTGCTGCTGTTCCATGTATTGTTTTTGTACAACTAGTGTTTAGTGTATTTTTAGTTAACGTTTTTCTTAGTTCATATCTTAGATCTTATTACTGTTTATCTTTTACATTTTAATACTTTTCTTGGATGTAACTGGGACCCTGTGGTACATGGGGTGGAACGACAAATAAAGAACCTTGAATATAGTTTAAAGAAAACTGGAGCACCCCTACACATCACAAAATCCTATTACAGTAGTCCCTCGCTACTTCGCGGTTCGTTTATTGCGGACTCGCTCTATCGCGGTTTTTCAAAATAAGACTGAACATGACACGCAATTGGCTGATTGATGGATGAGCCGCACAATCAGCATGGAGTTTTAATTTTAAAATAAATTATTTTAAATTATTTAGCACCTGCTGCACATTTGTGCAGCTCAAAGCTGCAGAAAAAGCTTCCTCCTGAACCTTTGTGCAGCCCTTACTGCTGCAGGAGAAACTTTCTGCAGCGGCTGATCAGCTGTTCACCGTGCAGAGGGGAGAAATGGGCGAGGCCAAGAACACCTGCAGTTGGCTGAGAGCAGAGGAGGCAGGGAGCAAAAATCATGACATTCTGTGTCCTTTAATAGCTTAGAAACATTGTTCAGAATATTGCAAGAATGTGAGAAGGGTTTAAAATGACATATACACATATATATTATTATTTTATATATATATATATATATATATATATATATATATATATATAATACTACTTACTACTTGTACTACTATACCTACTTCACGGTTTTTCACTTATCGCGGGGCTTCAGGGTACGGATCCCCTGCGATAAATGAGGAACTACTGTATTTCCCACTTCAGAAAGGAAAAAGGTGGATGATGTTTTTGCCCGTGTATGTGTGAGTGCCTGTTTGTTCACAAATATCATATGAAACAATATTTTAATGAAACTAGTATCCATTCCTTCAAAGAATGGTCTTTAATTTCACCACTAAGCTTTATGTGTTAAGACTTGTAAGGATTTTTCTTCCAACATATTACCTGTGGCAAGCAGTCAGGTCTGGCCTCAAAGATGACCAGAAGAACCCCAATGGGTACCGTAATCTGCTCTAGTTCTAGACCTTGAGCCACCCTGGTCCTTCGCAGCACTCGACCGACGCCGTCCTGGGCTGCCATAGCTATCTGACGCAGGCCTATGGTCAAACTGCTGAGCTTGACTGGTGTGAGGCTTAGACGCTTCAGCACGGCTGATGAATGACCTAAAATATAAAAAAAATTAAGTGACATCAGAATATTTTGAGAGAGTATAAATATGAGTGGGGAAGTGAAGTTTTTGAAAAGATAATGTGATACTTTTACCTACTTTATTGTTATTTCTGTTCATGATGTATAATAAAGAAGAAGGGTTCTGCCTACTAGTCTTCTCTAAACCTGGAAACTGTTGGTTCCTGTTACCTGCACTGACAGCCGTCTCCATGTCCGTCTTGTTTGCAGCCAGAATTTCTTCCTTCCTCTCAGTCAACAGCTCTGCTAGGTGGCAAATGATCTCACTTCTCTGACAACACAAACGAGCAAACACATGCAGACTCAGCATAAAGCAGATCCGTCCGCTAAAGTTTCTCTGCAGCTGCAAAAATATGGACGCACCAAACGTCATAAATTATGAATGCTTACAGCCTACAAAAACATGTTTAAACTGCAGCCCTCAAAAACAGTAAGACGGCATGTTCTGCTCCAAATCCAAGGTGTCACCTGGTCTGGATGTAGAGACGCCAGGATTCTACCGGAGTTTCGGGCCATTTCTGCCTGCTCGTCCACAGACGGGCCTAAAACAGAGTCAGACACGAGACGGACTGAAAACAACAACTTTAACAAGACTGCAATACTTGAAAGGAGAAAAGGAGAAACCTTGCCAATTTCAGAATATACACACCAGCAGGTTTTATTTCAGAAAAGAAGGTTCCCACTTTCTTGCCCTCTACTATATCGGTGATGACATGACCTGTCACTTTGGGGTTTGTGCCGTTAGCTATGACCACAGAGGTGCCGCCCTGCAAAGCCCAAAGAGCTGCCTTGACCTGCAGAAAACACATTTTTGAAGGAAACTTTTAATTATTATCAAAAGCTATCTTCAGCTTCCCCAGAATTAAGATTATAATCTTCAAGAATTTATTACATAAATAGAATAAGATGTCTTGTTTTGTTTCATCAGAGGTTAAAACATGTAATAAATGGTGAGAACAACATCTTCCTTAGTTGAGGTCTTAAGTGTTGTAGACAAAATTGTCAAGATGTTGCTTTTATTCTGTTTGCTCAGCTGATAAATTTTTCCCCAAGAAAAACCGAGAGCCTCAAGTCAACCTTGGCCTCCATGCCTCCAATCCCGACTCTGGACTTTGTGCCGTAGGTGATGGACTGCTGGTCTCCAGGGTAGAAGATGTCAATGAGCTTTGCGTCGTCTGTTCCAGGAGGGCTGTTGTAAAGTCCTGTAAAATGAGCAATCTATGTACATGTATTTACTTAAAGGACAAAAAACAATTTAATCAGTCAATAAAAACTTCTGATCACAGAAACCCTCTACAGGATGTATTGATCATTTTTCCATTTTCTCTGAAAGAAGTGAACAATGTTTCAGGGGGAAATAGTCTAACATTCAAATGTAGAAGCCTTAGATTACAAGTATTAAGTAATAACTTCGAAAGACAACAAATTTGAGTTATAATGTTAAAAAAAATGTCTGATAACAGTCATGTGAAAGCAGAATCTTACTCGTTAGTGTAGACGACAGGCAGACATTTCTTGTCACTTATTTTAAACAGCCAACAAACACAGGACAATAGAGCCACGCTTGTGTCATTCCCTAAAGTTTATGAAAGACAACGGGACTTATTTTTTTGTTTGTTGAAGACAGTCCCCTCTCGTCCAACAGTATTTCTTAAACTTATGATTATCCATGTCCTGAAAGACTAAGGACCCACACAAACCTAAGGATTATATTGTTGGTGGATAACAGACTCCTGATTACAGCTAGTCTGGTTGTTTGAAGCTCTGAGAAAATTTGTACAAAGCAGCACAGTGGCTCAGTTGGTAGAGCTGCCACCTCTCAGCGAGAAGGTCGCTGGATCGAATCCTGGCCAGGGGGCTTTCGGGGTAGAGTTTGCATGTTCTCTCTCCGGTACTCCGGTTTCCTCCCACAGACCAAAAACATGCATGTTAGACTGATTGGTAACTCTAAATTGTCCCTAGGTGTGAGTGAGAGTGAATGGTTGTTTGCCTCGTTTGTCTATGTGTCCCTGTGATGGACTGGAGACCTGTCCAGGGTGTCCCCCACCTCTCGCACAGTGACTGCTGGATATGAGCACCAGTGACCCTCGCAGCTCAGAAAGGAAGAAGTGGCTAAAGATGACGGATGGATGGGAATTTGCAAAAGTCCTAATTGTTTAGTTGTTACTAAAATGAACTGGTCGTGTCTATGTTTGCAGATTTACAGTTTATTTGATTCCACTGGGAATTGTAAATATAAATATCTAACAGCTATCCCAATGAGCATGAGCATGCATCAGGATATCCCAAACTGTAGTTGTGTTAATGCTGATACCTTCCACATCAGACAGCGCGATGAGCAGATCAGCCTTCATCTCTACAGCCAGTCGTGCTGCTAGGCTGTCATTATCCTTAATGCTGATCACCTATAAAAACAAAACAAAACAATTACCTTCAATTTAGCCAATATTTCTTATATAGACTATTATTCAGCTGATTAGTAACACAAATACTGTTAAAAAGATTTTATAGCAGTGCCAAACTTTTGAATAAATCTAATTAAATCAATTGATATTTTTAAATATTCAATTATGAGGTAAGGGTTACAAAAATTGAACTGGGATAAAAATATTTTTAAACTATTTAAAAAAAAAAATAACATTATTGTTTCGTGTTAGTTTGCAGAAGGCATTATATAAAGCTTACAAATGTATTTTTCTACTCATCAATGTGACATTTTAGGACCTGCTCGCAGATAAGCTTGTGACAAACCAGTGATTGACCAGCAGTGATTCCAAATATCTAAGAACAAGATGTCGGTCTGGAACAGGACTCCTACGTCCGTATGCTCTTCGTGGACTTCGCGTCTGCCTTCAACGCCGTGGTTCCCCAGACCCTGATGGACAAACTAATCACACTAAGACTAGGTTCCTCTCTGTGCAACTGGGTCTTAGACTTCTTAACCAACAGACCACAGTCTGTGAAGATTCGCAATTTCTCCTCCTCCACCATGGCCCTCAGCACAGGCTCCCCCCAGGGCTGTGTGTTGAGCCCCCTCCTGTCCACTTGGTTGTTATGTGCTGCTGACTATCCATGATGCTGATCTCATGCTGCTGATTATTTCATGTTGCTGCGTTCATTAGTCCTCATCTGCTCATACAGACTCGCGTTTGTGCTGTTGTTGTTTTGGCGCATTGTTTTTCTACCATTAGTGCTTAGTGTATTCTTAGTTTAGTGAATGTAGTATATTCTGAGCTCATGACTCGGATCTTACTAATGTTTTTCTTTACAATTTGTGTTTTTGGTGGATGTAACTGGGACTCTATGTACACAGTTTCGTCCCACCTCATGTATCACGTGTGGTGTGTATGACAAATAAATCTCTCTGACTCTGCAGGAGAGCACGAAAAGATGACATCGAACAAAAGAACTTTGTCCTTGCTCCTTCTGACAGCACTTACTGCTCACTTCTACATCCATTTCCATCCATCCATCCCCTCTCTGCATGAACATGTTTAATGAATAAAGGCAGAACTGGAGAACTGAGGCAGATGTGATTCAGAATGCATGTGGCTGACAGAAACTGTTGTAGTTAATGAATGGGGCATGTATTGTACAAAAACAGGCTCTGCCAACCCTCTCAGGTCCCCCGCTGCCACTGCCAGCATCGCACCCATGCTGCCTGTACCCACATTTACCCCCTGCAGGTCGCTGTCGGGTTCAGGCGGGGGTACCACAGCGTCGTTGGTGTTGATGATGGGCACGATGTTCATGCGCAGCAGCTCCTGCAGCGTGCTGTTGAGATTCTGCCTCTTCTCATCATCATGGAAATCCAGATTTGTCACCAGGACCTGACAACGCAGAAGGAAGCAGAGAATTGAGTCGAAACTGGAAGTGAGAGGAAGAAAAGTTAACTCTACACAAAGCCTTTCCACGTGGGTGTTTTTCTGTGAATTGTACAAGTATAATTATACCTGAGCAGTGCATGTGCTGTACTGGGTGAACATGGCCTCATACAGGGCCATCAGGCCGCTCTGTCCTGCTGCAGCACAGGCTCGGGCCTCCAGAACTGGCAGAGACTGCAACACAAATGAGACAGTTAATATCAAGAACACTTTACATCAAACCTTACCATCCTGACAAACAAAACATGAGCGTTTAAAAAGCCAAAACACTGGCTTCAAACACACATGTATAGAGACTGCATTGCATTTTTAATTAACTCTTGACAAATATAATCATATCACCATATATATATATATATATATATATATATATATATATATATATATATA